TCGCAAGTGAAAGTGCATCGGACCGAGGGAGGGGGGGGGGGGGGGGGTTGTTAAGCGCGGCACTGAGATACTCGCCCATGTTTATAATTTATGCTCAAGTCCCCCGAGACCCCGGGTGTATGCAACCTGCGCGTCACGGGAGCTCCCCTCCCCCCGGCCCAAACTGGGCCCGTTTTGTGGGACATTTGAGGACATTTCAGGGCTGACTCAGCATCTTGTTGAGAGGCCTTTAAACAAAAGCGCCTACGAGCAGTCGTTTAATCAACTCTCTCCTTCTTCCCGTCGCCCCATCTCTCTCTCACCCATTGCATCGTACGGGCATGGGCGACGCGAAGTTCTCTCTCTCTCTCTCCCTCTCTACCTCCCCCCTCTCTACAGCCCCGCGCGATTTCTTCAGGGAAGGATATGCAGAATTCCCGTGCATCGTCTCGACTAATGGGGGAGAAGTGATTGGGAAGACGGTGCAACTTCTCTGCGACGCTCAGTGGATCCAGTAGATGGAAAAAGTTGGACATGGAATTTTTGACGGAAACTGCACACTGGAAAAAAATTAATAAGTCTACGTGATTTTTTACACGGTGATATTATTTAGTGCGAATCACCAGAATTGTAGTAGTATTCACCAGAGCTGTGGTGATTTATACCATAACATGGCAAATACTACCCTAGCGTCTGGTGTTGATTACCATACTCGTAACACTGTGTCAGAGTATAGTAAAGTCTCCCATATTTGCTCCCTATCTTTGCATGGGGAGTTTGTCTTGATGTAGAGGTGGACTCTCAGGATAGCGTGGGATATCCCCTCCATTTCGGCCTCAACTTGAGAGCTTTTTTTGAGCTTGGGAGTTGATTTCAGAGAAAACCAGTGGCACCATCGTGTTTCTCACGATTTTTTACATAAGAATCAACAGTCAAATCGCAAATTCCTCACACATGCAACATCTCCATTGCGAATATTATTTTCCATAATTTTTAGACAATTTTGTATGCAATTAAATCTAAAATATCTGAAAATTTCATGGAAAAATATGCATGAATGTTCTCAGAAATTCATATTTTATCAAGGGAAATTTGGCATCTCTCGATGGTTCATACGACTTTCTTCCTTAGCACGGCAGTCTAAGCTCTGAAAATGTCCACATTTTGCTCGACTTCTCCGATTGACTCGCTCCATTGTGCGGCGCTTTCTCTCTCCATCAGTGGCGTGGCGTGAATTGCGATATGTCGATTGATCAGTCATTTAAACCTATGGAAAAGTATCGATAAACATGGCGTTCGCAGCGAACACCTTAATAATCGATTATTTACCACAGCTTCGAATGGGGAAACATCGATGGATCGAAAAGCACGCCACGCCACTGCTCTCCATCTTCTCGTGCCCCTGAGACGGGAACTTTTCTGTCTTTCTCGCGCTTCCGTTACGTGGTTTTTCGTGTCTTTCCAATACTTTTCACCAACGTCACCTCTTGCTCATCCACTCGAGGGCCGTAATCACTACAATCTAACAGTTCGGCGCTCTAATTTGGAGTGACGCAAAGGACGGCTTCTGCTGTTCTCCGCGGTTTAAATTGGCTTATTTTCCACGCTATTTGCGTTCTTGAAAGTGAGTTTAAGTGAAAATGACAAGCCGAGGAGGGAAGAGGGGAGGGGGCGATTAAACGATTACCAGCAAAACGGCAACTTTATTTTCTAAGCAATGACTCTTTCTGATAATTTAAGAGAGAGCAGACTCGAAATGATATGGAATTAAAGACTAAGTACATTTTGGGCGCTTTTTCTTGAAGAAGTGGCATTTGCCGTTGCCAAATTTTTTGGGTCAATATATTTATTTATTAATTTTTTTTAAGGTAGAGGGATTGCATAGATTTGTTTGAAACTTTCAGGGAATTCTCTAATGCCGACTTCGCGCCCTAAAAATGGATACAGGTCACCGATGCAGCGTTGAGTGGTGCCCTGAAAAATGGGACACAATACGCAATTTCCAGCGATCGATGAGATAGGGTCTAATCATGCCGCGATTATACTAACACGAGTTCGAATAATGCGGCAAACACAGTGCGGCCGGCGTTAAACGCATATTAGCGCCTGCAAGACTGTAGGAAAACTTCACGCATTGCGTCAAACAGTGCAGTGCAGTCGGCATGGCACGCATATTAGCGCCTACAAGACTGCATGGATACCTCTCGCATTGCGCCCAACGCAGTGCAGTCAGTCAGTTGGCGTGAAACGCTTATTGAACTTACTAAACTTACATGTACCGAACTTCCCGAGGAAAAATTTTTAGATAGGTGATTAAAAGAAAAATATCCCATTATTACAGTCTGACCATGATGGGCTTTCAACCAGGAGTTGTCATGTTAAAAACATAAACTAGAGGACTTATAACCGAGAGAGTGCGAACATTTCGACATATGGAGATCTCTGAGCCAAAAGAGTAGCTAACCTTCTAATACAAAAAATGTCACTGCCAATCTTCATATTGCAATATCACACCAAGATGACCGATAATGTTCAAGAATGAGCGTTCTCCCGCAAAAATGAGTAAATTTATGAAAAAACTAGGTCGAATGTTTGCTTTACAAACGACGAACCGTAGACATTGTAATACAAAATCACTCTGGATAATTTAAATTCATAGGTTTGCTGTCTTTTTGGGCTCAAAAAGCTCCATGACCTAGGTAATCTCAAAATTACCGGCATGTCCATACTCTCAATACATAGATACTCTACCCACAGCAATGGATCACTAGACAAGGTGCGCATTTAAGCAATCTGATACATGTTTCTTAACCAGAATTTCACGTTAAACACGATTCGCGCATAGAAAATTACTGAAACCAACCTCTAACGAAGATATTAACGTTTTTAATTCACATCGGTCACGAGGAATTTGAACTGCCCGCTCACAAGAAACTCAAAGCGTGAGTCAAATCGCGCACTACAATGGTCTCAGCAAGCTTCTCATTATCGAACAATTTTCATTTCCCACCATCAGTTGTTGTTCAAACTAAAAGCAATTTGCTATAGCTGAGCCAAAGCGTCAAGATTGAGGTTGCCAGATTTTTATATCGAAGAGACTGTTATGATAACATTTAGCGCGCGATGTGAGTCACGTAGAGCATTGAGTTTTCATGAGCGGGTGGTTTTAATTCACGCATCAAGAATCATTAAATATCTTCCTAAGGAGTTGATTTCGGTAATTTTTGTTGTGCGCATCGTGTTCTACGTGAAATATTGGTTAAGATACATGTATCAGAATGCTGAAATTCGTACCTTGTCTTGTGGTCCATTGGATGTATTTATGCTAAAAAGAACTATGTTACACGCAATCCCTATGCACTTAGTTCCTTTTAGCATGAATATGTTCAATTGAAAGTACAATCTGATCACCGACCAGTTGCGCTCAACTTGTTTGGAATTCCTGCCTCATCAGTTATAATTGGGTTAAATGTTAATTACTCAATGGCTAGGTTATATCTGTTCGCATTGAAAGCGAACAGGCTCGAGACGCCCTCTCAACTTGGCGCGCGCAGTTTTCATTTAGATGAAGCTGACGAGCGGGTGCGGATTTTTTCTCGCGTTACGTTTAATTACTAAGTTATGGGATAAGTTGAGAATAAACACAATAACATCTCGTATGCTCCAAGGATCGGAAAAGGCTATTTATCCCCGTGAATAGAATGTTGACTGTTCTGCATGCAAACTCTCTTCATCTAATATCAATAGAGAGATGTAAATTCCTATCTCCATCCATTTAAATTTTCACTCCCATTCCAATGCAATAAACCAACCAACACAATTGTATACGTGGATGCTCGAATGTTAAAAATACACTCTTTGAAAACATACAGGTCAACAAAGTATACACTCAAAAAAAGGTATGACTCTGAGACCCATAAAAAATGGCTCGGAGATCTATAATTTCTAACCAAAGTGACTGACCGTCTACAGTATGGCTTTCTGAGTCATACTTTGTTGGTTGTGAACCTATAAGTATGGCTCCACGAACTATACATATTTTATGGCTCCATGATTCATAACTCGGCCGGTAAGTCACTCTTCCCATACTTGTTTTTTGAGTGCAGTAAATTGAGGTTCTGGCATGTTATTTAGGTGTCCTAAATGAACACACATTTAGATGATAATAATAATGTATATAAAAAAAATAATAAAAAATTTAAAAGGAATAAAAAAAAATACCATATTATTTTGTTTCTTTCAACAGTAATGTAAAACCTATTTTGAAAACTACTTAGTGTGATTAGTATTTTTAAGATTTTCAAAAACTATGATATAAAATGACGGATCTTTGCGTCAAAATTACATGCTAAGGTGAGTAAATGGGTGAACTCGTTCTGCGGATAGCAATCTTTGTTTTGAAAAGAAACAAAACTGATACGCTCACTGATCAAACTATAAGAAAATATCAAACAAACATTTCAATTTAAAGCTACGACTTAGAATATCAGAAGGAATACAGCATTTTTGATACCAGCTATTTTTTATTGTGAGAAATTTATTGGAAACCTTTGATGCGATTCACCAGCAAACGCCAACGACGGTATAGGAATTCTCAATGACTTTCAATTTTCCATAAGTTCCCCAACCGTTTTTGTATGTACAGTGAAAGCTCGCTAAGTCGAATTGTGTAGGGGCCGACAAAAAATTCGACTTAAGCGGAAATTCATCTTAACCGGTTCTCCATTTCATTTATGAACGTGTCTAGGGATCGAAAAAAAAATTCGACTTAATCGACATTTCGTCTTGACCGTAGTTCGACTTAGCGAGCTTTTACTGCATTAGGTTTGTTTTTAAGCTTCATGAAAGTATGTCTAATGCGCATTTTTTATCATTTAATGTATCGTTCCTCGCTCGAAAAATTAAAAATTAAGGACTTTAATACTTGGATGACTCTCTTAAAAATAATCGCTTACGCAGGTAGACTCTTTTATTGAATAAAATAAAATTAAATCACTGAGTAGTTGACGATTATGTTCCAGATTCATCAAGCTGAGACTCATGAGTTGACCATGCTTCTGGCCATCCAGTCCCAGTTGCTGTTGGTCATTTTTAAGTTTTACTCGTCTTCAGCAAATCGGACAACTACCGAGAACGTGTAAGTAGAATAACTTTATTGAACTCCTTAGTTTTTTTTTATTACTTCTTTAACGTTCACAGCCCGAGGCCGGCTCGTCTAACTTCTCCCGACGTTTCAACGCAAAGGAGAGTCAAACTTGAGTGTGAGTCTCCCTACAACCAACTCATTAAAAAAGCTAAAAATTTAAAAAATTGTTTCAAAGCTAAAAATTTAAAAAAAAAATAGTTCGAAGCTAACAATCGCAACAATCCTAAAATAAAAGTATTAAAATGTAGAAAGTTAAACGATAAAATTATTTGATTTGAAATGGTTAAAAGTGGCTTTTCTTTAAAAACTCGTTTAAAAGCTAAAAATTTACAGATCCCAACAATCCTAAAACGAAAATATTAAAATGTAAAAAGTTAAACGTCAAAAATCTTTGGTTTAAAATGGCTATAAAATTTATTCATTTTAGCGGTCGACGTCATCGCTAATGACTATTTAATTATTATTAGTTTCGGTTCGTATCCTTAGTTTTCTCGTTCTTCTCGTTGTGAGCGGTCTGTCAGGGTTTGCGCCTAATGATGATGGAAAACAAGATAGGAGTCTAAAGTAGGATGTCCGCAAAGCGGACCTTAGATGGGGGTTGGGCCGAGTAGAGCTCAGGCGGTGCAGCCCCCTAGTCTACTGCATTTTTACTGTTGAGACCAAAGATAGCTTCGGGGAATTTTCCAAAGCACACCAGCCTCCGGAAAATTCAATATTCCCGGTGCTTTTTATTAAGTTTGACAAAAAACGTTTGTTTCTTTTTTCGGGTGAAGGAGTTCTATATTCGACGCATTTTTCTGCGAAACTTTTAGGTATAATAACAATGGTTCGTTTAGCCTCGGAAAAGAAAACAGTAGCGAGAGCTTCAATACAGCTCGATCGAGGAGCATGGTTTACAAGTTTAGCCATCAATATATTATTCAAAGAAATTAAAACTGCCCGGGAGCCGCGCACTTATGGCGAAGACAAAAAACTCGGAAGCCGTGCATAAAACATCGACAAACGCGAACCGCATACAAATATATGCACCACTGCGGTCTCGTCAGAGTAAACCCTTCCTTTTATCCCTCCTCTCCACGCCGAATTAATTCACGGTGCGGAAATTTTTGAATTTTTTATGACCCCAGCATCGCTGGAAGTTCACCGAGCACCGTTGACAGGATTTTCATGAATTAATTTCCCTAATTGTCTTCTCAATCTTACGCGGAGGGCTTACCCACTTCCGTATCGGCTGTGACGTCACAATGCAAAGTTCGCTATTCATCCGACAAAAAAGCGTATCCACACTTTGAAATTAGCTCAGTCGTGCGTGCGATTCCATAATATCAAGGGTTTAGATGAAAGAGGAGTTACGTGATTGTGCCAGCGGAGTGACGTATTGTGAAGCCCCCCCTCCCTTTGAATTCTCAAGGGGTCCTGTTACCCCTTTTTTTGCACGCTTGCACCCGATCCACCCCCCGCAGCCCCTCGTTAAACATTATTACTCGTACCCTTGGCGCACCGCCGCACAGTGGATTGAGTCAATTAGGGAGGTCGGACATGACATTTTTTACTTAAACTCCTAATTTTGATGTTTGTCTCGTCTTATTTCTAGTTTAAGGGGAGCTTTCAGAAGAAAACTCGCTGTCACGGCAGTGTGCTTGAAAGTTCATGATAAATGTTGAGTCTTCCTTAATGAAGTAGACCACTAAGTCATTAATTTATTTATTTTATTGTATATTAGTGTATATAAATGCCACATGGTATGGCTCACAATACTTGTCAAAAACCCCCCTTATATTTACACATTAATATAGGTACATTGAAGATTAATGAGTTTTGACTTGCGAATACAATGTCCAAAGATACATGACAAGTAGGAAACGATGCGTACATTAAAAACGCAGAAAATTAACCCAGAAACCAATAAATTCTCAGCTCAAAAGGCACAATTTTCCCGAAAATTTAAAACGCCCCAGCTCACAGTAGTGAATCGAGTCGATTAGAGAGGTTGGACATGACATTTTTGGCTAGAACTGCAAATTTTGATGTTAATTTCGTCACATTTTCGACTTTATCATACAAATCGAATCATCGATGGGGCCATTTGCCGTTGGTGCAGTTTACGCGCAGCCTCGACATTGTTGTATCACGGCTAATTATACTGAATTGTTTGAAAGTTTGGGTCCCCGATTTATTATCGGGGGCGATTGGAATGCTAAGAATGTTCGGTGGGCGTCTAGACTCACCAACGGCAAAGGTATTTGTTTAGAAAAAGCGGTGGATCTAATTGGCGGGGACTTTATCACTCCTGGTAAGCCCACGTTCTACCCGGCCGATGAGACCAAGGAACCCGACCTGCTCGATTTTTTTGTGTTTAATAACTTAACTTTGAATAATAAGACTGTTTGTGATGTCTTACTGCCTAAAAAAGACATACGCCCAAAAGACCATGTGCCTGTTACTCTTTCTATTTTTGCTACCCCTGTTCTCATTAAAAGACCCCCATGTTTAATTTCCGCTCAAACTGACTGGGAAAAATTTCGTGCCATTTTGACCGATAAAATTGATAATTCACTTGTAATTAATAACTGTGCGTCGCTTGATAAGGAAGTGGAACTTCTCACCTCGCTTATACAAGAAGCGGCCAAGAGCAGCACACCAGTCGCGCGCCAAAATAATAATCATTATCCCAAATGCACCTTGCCCGCTGAAATCCTGAGGCTTATTGACAGGAAAAAGGGAGCGAATAGGCGTAAGAGATCTACTCAATTTCCAGCTGACAAAACAGTTTATAATCAGTTGAATAAGGTAGTTTCCAAGAGAATTGACGAACACAGAAATGTCCAATTCGAAAATTTTATTTCTAAACTTAGTGCTAGAGAGGTTAATGACTACACTTTGTGGAAAGCGACTCGTTCCCTTAAACGTCCTTTTCAGATGAGTTTTCCTATCTTGCAAGCTAATGGGGAGTGGGCCAATAATAGTCAGGATAAGGCTAACACAATTGCCAGTCATCTAGAGTCAGTTTTTCAACCGAACCCTTGCTCCAGTTCGGAGAGAGAGAAAGAGCTGGAAGAAGCGGCAGCGAATATCCACTTCTTACCCGATGAAAAAATTAAAAAAATAACATTTGACCAAATTTTTGACGAAATAAAATATAAAACTAAAATTAAGAAAAGCCCTGGTTTTGATCTAATTTCAGCCATTATTTTGAAACAACTCCCGGCTGCTGCAATTAAAAAATTAACTACCATTTTCAATGCTGTCCTTAAATTAAACTATGTTCCCCTCCAATGGAAAAAAGCAGAAGTTATTGTCTTGCTTAAATCCGGTAAACAACCTTCAGCTCCTGGCTCTTATCGGCCCATTTCCTTGTTACCCCTCATCTGCAAGTTATTCGAAAAATTGTACATTAAAAGACTCTTCCCCATTGTGAAGAAGAAGAAACTTCTTCCAGACGAGCAGTTCGGATTCCGGCCCGAGCATAGTACGGTCGAACAATTACATCGGATTTCCAAGTACATCGAAAGCGCCTTGGAAACGAAACAGTTTTGTAACGTTGTATTTTTGGATGTGGCCCAGGCTTTCGACAGGGTGTGGCATCAGAAATTGACATACAAGCTAAGTAAAATGCTTCCGGGAAACTACGTAAAGTTACTGACGTCATACATTGCAGACCGATTCTTCCGTGTTCGGTTCGAGGATTCCTATTCAGAGTTTAAATCTATCAGGGCGGGCGTTCCGCAAGGTTCAGTCTTGTCTCCTCTACTCTACAGTCTTTTTACGGCTGATATTCCCAAGCCTAAGAAGGGTAAACTCGGGGTATTTGCAGATGATACTGCCGTCGCATCTGCTGCCCCCACATATGAAGAATCGGTCAACAATCTTCAGGAGAGCCTGGGTGATATTCAGGAATGGACTGAAGACGACCGTACTGCGCTTAATGCGACCAAATCGGTGAACGTGGTCTTTACCCTACGGCCTTACGTTTATGCACCCTTGGTTTTAAATGGCACTACTATCCCGCACGCCTATAAGGCTCCATACCTTGGCCTTATCATGGATAGTAAACTTAATTGGAGGGAACATATCCTCACTAAACAGAAACAGATTAATATCAAGTATCGTAAAATGTTTTGGCTTCTTGGAGGCCGTTCAAAATTATCTCTTGAAAACAAAATTCTTCTTTACAAATCCATGATAAGGCCAATCTGGAGTTACGGCAGCCAGATGTGGGCCTGTGCTTCCAATTCAAATTTATTGATCATAGAACGAACACAAAATAAGATTTTAAGAAAAATGGTGGGGGCCAGATGGTACGAGAGAAACGCTGATATTAGGAGCGAGCTCGGTATAGAGGAGATAGACGTTTACATCTCGAAATTGTACAACAACTACGAAGAGCGACTGGGCCGACACCCCAACTCAGAGGCGATGTCGCTTCTGGATTGGGCGTCGGACCCTAGACGCCTTAAACGCAGGAAAACCCATGAGCTGGCAACGGCTCACTTTCGACAGTGCTAACTGGCTTTTGTACCTCTGGCCCCCGACATGGTCTAAGTCGACCGACCGGGTTATGTACAGTTACATTCAAGATCTCTCATTCGTTTGGGGGGTTTTTATAGTTATTTTATCCGTTAATTTTTCCCACTTTTTACCCATTCTCGTCTCCTTTTCGCTTGTTGTAAATTCTGTTGCCCATCTGGCCTGTTTTCCACAAATGTCTTCTGCTATTTGCTCTTTTCTCTTTTATCTTGTCATGTAATTCTGGTTAGGCTGCTTCACATGGTGGCTTTTAGTTCATAATAGGCTCTAAAAGTGGTATATATATATATTATATATAAGTTCATACAAAGTTTTCAAAGACCCGTAAGGTCTATTAACATACTTGTAAATGTTCTATGTATTTACAAATAAATAAAAAAAAAAAAAAAAACATTTTCGACTTTAAGTGATGCTTTAAGAAGGAATTTTCACGAGGAAACCAATGAAACCACTCTTAGAGCCTC